GGGATGGGATGGGATGGGATGGGATTCTCTGTCAGACACCTTGCTCAGTTCCACAATAGAAATAACCCCAATAAAAAGGTCTTTTAGGGATGCACTGAGCCATGCAGGAAAATAACTGATAAAATGACACAAATTGCGGATTCTCCCTGCTGTGGCACTGTCCCCACTGCCCTGCTCTCCGTTTTCTAACTGGGCTGAATTTCCCCAGCTCATATTGTAAGGTGGTCATTTTTTGGGCACATCTGTGCTGGTGGATCCACGTGTACTGCAAATGTTCTGTGCCCTGTGGGTACTGCTCCCACTGGACAGGGGCTCCTTTGTGCTCCTCTCCCTCTGTGCAGTGCTTTGGGAGAGGATGAGGCTCAGCTCCCCAAAAATCCAGGCTGGGGAGGGCACCCCATCGAGCCAGCGAGGAGATGGCTGGTCCAGGGGCTGGGCTGGGCTGGCCTGGGCTGAGTGAGCCACCCACTGTGGTGACAGGAGCGTTGTCCCCTGACAGGCAGGCACGCTGAGGACATCTTTGGTGAGCTGTTCAATGAAGCCAACAGCTTCTACATGCGGATGAACTCGCTGCAGGAGAGRGTGGACCTGCTGGTCATCAAGGTGACACAGCTGGACTCCACTGTGGAGGAAGGTGAGGGGCTGAGGCTGTTTTGGGGTGATGTCCAGGAGACCAGACCCCCACCATGATGCCTTGCTCGGTGGGCTGAGGCCACCCCCACATCCCTTGTCCTTGCTGTGCCCGCAGTTTCGCTGCAGGACATCAACATGAGGAAAGCCTTCAAGAGCTCCACGGTGCAGAACCAGCAGGTGGTGTCCCGCAACTCCATCCCCAACCCGGTGATGGAGATGTACCAGCGCTGCGACAAACCCCCGCCGCTCAACATCCTCACACCCTACAGGTACGGGGCACGGCGCCTCCCGGGGGCACCGAGGGGGTCTCGTTTTGAGAGAGGCGTCAGGCATGACCCCAATTTGCAGCTGGATTTCTGCAGCTGCTGGGCTGCCACCCCCATTGCATGGGGTGCTAGGGATGTGTGCCCACACTCTGCGGCGAGTGACCGCTGTGGTGTTCATGGTGGGGCAACAGCTCTTGGTCATGATTGCACCAAATCCCGTGGGCAGGGGAACAGGGGATCTTCTCCTGCACCAGTAACCCTCTGTCCTGCCTTCCCAACCCCCAGGGATGACAAGAAGGACGGCCTCAAATTCTACACCGACCCCTCCTACTTCTTCAACTTATGGAAGGAGAAGATGCTGCAGGCGACAGAAGACAAGAGAAAGGAGAAGCGCAGGCAGAAGGTGGGTGGGGGCAGGTGGGTGACACAGGGGACTGGGGGTGCTCAGGATTTGGGGACAGTCACTTCCTGGTGCATCTTGCATGCTCCCCTCTCCTGCATGGGTGCATCTCAGGGGCTGCGTGATAGTCAGGATTTGGGGACAGTCACCTCGTGGTGCACCCTGCGTGCTCCCCTCCCCTGCACGGGTGCATCTCAGGGGCTGGGTGATGCTCCCCCGGTACCTCCTGGTCCAGAGGAGCCGGGCTGGAGGTGGAGCCGTGGCTTTGTGTCCCCACAGGAGCAGCGGCTGGTGGAGGACTCCACCCGGGAGGTGAAGAAAGTGAGGAAAGCCCGCAACCGGCGCCTGGAGTGGAACATGATGGCATATGATAAAGAGTTCCGGCCCGATAACAGGTTCTCACCATCCCCCTATCACATGGCGTCATCGGAAGGATCACTGTCCCCAGATAATAGGCAGGTTCTTCCTCCTACACCTTCAGCTCACGGCTCTCCTTTGCTTTGCTCTTCCTCTCCGTCGTCGTGGGGGACGTGTTGCCCACAGCAGGGTCGGGGTGCTCAGTCTGTGGTAGCTTCATGGATAGGTGGTGTCCCCAGGGTGTCACCCTGGACCTCAGGAGCAGCCTCGGCATTGGGATAAAACCGGAGCGCTTTCTGTTTCGCAGCTGAGGGAAGAGCGTGGTCCAGCTCTGTTGTGTCCTCCCCCGTCCGCTATCACTCTGCTGTCTYGTACATCGATATTTTTGTGGCCTTTTGTTGTCTCAGCCGCAAAATACTCCCAAACCCTCACCCCTGAGCTCCCTCCCCGGGGTACAACAGTGKGCTTTTCCTGTGCCGCAGATCCTACGCGTCGGACGCCGCCGACCACTCGTACCCGGCCAGCCCCAACCACCCCGCGCAGCTGCTGGCCCCGGCGGCTCACCTGGCCCCGGCCGAGCACAAGGAGGGGGTGCTGGCGGCCACCAACCCCCCGGAGCACGTGTTCCGGCCACCCGCGGGCAGCCGGCAGAACAGCCTGACCCGCCTGCAGCAGCCCCACGCCCCGCCGCCCCCCGAGGCCGTCCTCAACGGGCCCCGGCCCCACCTCGTCAAGGATTACGGGTAGGGCTCCAGCCTGCTCGCCGCTGGAGGGCTGTGCGAGGGGAGGGAGGCTTGGTGGGCTCTGAACCCCCATTTCTGGGCTGATGGAGTGGGCAGAGCCCTCCTCTGCAGCTGTGGTGGTCCAAAACTGCTGGGGAGACCAGTCAGGTGTGTTTTTGGGATAATGTCATCCCAGAAAAGYGGACAGGTGGATGGAGGGTTTTCCCCCAGGGTGTTGCTCACCTTCCACCACCATGTACCTCACAGCATCTCCCTGACCCTGGGACACAGCTTAGGTGGGAATTCAGAGCAAAGCAAACCAGAACAAAGCCAGCTGGGTGCTGGGATGGGACATGGCTGTGGGTGGGGATGGGTGATGGGTGTTGGGATAAGTGATGATGCTGACATGGGTGCCATCCTTCAGCCAGCAGCTCCCTGGCAGCCAGSAGGGCCAGCTGTGKCCTGGGGKTGGGGGCCACCTTCCAYTAGAGCAGGCCCAGCATTGGCARCCGGGCAAGGGACAGGACTGTGCTGCTCTGCTCTGCACTGSRGCAGCCTTACCTTGGRTACTGGGAGCAGTTCTGGGCACTAAGGGCCCCTAAAAAGGGCATTAAGGAATTAGAGTGTCCAAAGGAGGGCAGTGAAGATGGTGAAGGGCCTCGAGGGAAAGCCGTGTGAGGAGGAGCTGGGGACATTTGGTTTATTCAGGCTGGAGAAGAGCAGATGAGGACAGACTTCACCGCTGTCTACAACTTCCTTGAGAGGTGAAGAGGAGGGGCAGACACTGATCTCTATCTGTAAGAGCAG